AAAATTCTAACTCCTTTCTGCCATCTCCTAGCTGTCCAGATCTTTGCAGCGTATACAGGAGAATATCCGTAGCTCAGGGTTGAAATGGGGGATCCTTGGTACTATCTGAACGTGGTTGTTTTCTTGAAGATGTTTCATCAGTGTTGTTCCAAAGACCTCTCTTTGCAGCCTAAATTTGGGAACCCTAAAGCATTGTTCACTTGGTTAGGAAAAAAAAACAACACCTTGTCCAAACTCCCAGGGCAGATTCATACTTCTTCCCTCTCTTTGCTTGTTTGCTGAATTATTCCCTGGAAATTGGCTGCCTTATATATTCCTCTTGAGAAGTGTCTCTTCTCAGCAGGAAGTAGTCACTCAGTCAACACAAGGTATAATCAACAGCTTTCAAGGCACACCTCTGCAAAGTAATATATTACTGTTCTGTGAACCAGATTGTAATGGCTTAATCCCTTTTTGTTTGACAGCAAGATCAGACCTGTTAAATAGAAGAAGCTCAGGCTTGAATTCTGGGGGTCTTGGTTTTTTTCTGAACTTGGTGTTTGCTTGGTTGTGTTCTACCATTCGGAAAACTGCATTCCTACCGACATAGGCAGGGCAAACTGCTACACTGTATAGAACAAGGTTGTTTGCTTGCAGAACTTCAGAGACTTTCAAAATCATATATCTTGATTGTGCAAATTTTCTCAACTCCCTGTGTTGCTTGTTTTTGTATGCAAAGACGGATTATGCAGTGTTGAGCTCCAGGGCCAGATGTAGTCCTCAATATCCTTCCAAATGGTAATTTTTTTTTCAGATCATAAAGGATCACCAATTTTGTCTGGAATGGGCTTATTTTCTGAATTTCTTCAATTTTAATGAAATCAATATTAATGTTTAACCTTAAAGTTTTCTCTTGTTCTTACTTTGTGCTCTTTTTTAAAATGATCTCCTACCACTATTCTCAGTGGCCAAAAGTTGTCCTACTTAACCATCCACCCACATTCCAAATACTAAATAAATAAATGCCTCTATGTGTAGATAGAAATGGAAATTTGATATAAATTAGAATAAAACAAGAAGGCAAAAGACATCAGTAAATGACTGTTTTTGTGTGCCTCAAATGACCTCTTTGTATCAGTTATGTCTCTCTTGTTGTTTGAGGTCAAGTTACTCCCTTATCTTTACTTAATTGAATATTATAATTGTTTTATACTGCTGACCTCATATGGAGTTCTGGTGGTTTTCATGTATCTCTAAAACCATAAAACAGTACCCTTCCTAGCAGCTTTATAGGTTGCATTTTCTCTGGAGCAGATAATTTAAATACTTTCATGTTTTACCTGAATCTCTAGGGTTGTAGTCAATGGTGAGATTCGCTTACCTTCCCTACTGGTTCGCAAATGTGACCATGTGCGTGCTCTCATTTCGCTTGCATGCGCCTCCTTCTGAGCACGTGCAGAAGGTCACACATTATGTTGGGGCGGGTGGGCAGAGCCTCCCCCAGCTGCTACTACCGGTTCACCCGAACTGGTGAACTGATTGCCAAACGCCCAAAATGTGTTCGTGTGACTGTAGTATTGGTGTGTGTGCGTGCGTGTGCGTGTGTGTGTTTATTTGTACAGCTGTTCTAGCTCCAAAAATGGGTTGTTAAGTAGCCATGGGGAGATCTGTTGTAACTTTAAACATTAAGCGACTGGTTGTATGTTGAGGACAATCTAAATTTAATTTGTTTTAAACTGAAACAATGGAAAAAAATGGACATGATTGGAGTCTTTATCCCAAGAGCTCAAAACAACTCTGGTCTCACTGAAGAAATGCTTCTTCTGTTCCTAGATCTTAGGGTTTTCTTATAGGGATATTGCCACATTGCCTAATAAAAGAATGAATATCAAAATGTCATATATGTTCTCAAGTTTTATAAGTTTTCTGTAAAGATATCAACTCTACCATGACATTTTCCAGATATAATAAAATTTCACGGTTGTGCTCGAAACCCTCTGAATGATTGCCAGTATAATCAAAGTCATTTGAACATTTCTGCCCAACCTTCGTTCTTAAACTATTTTTGCCTTCGCGATTTCACTTGTTTAACCTGACATTTCCTATTACCATATCTAGACACCTAAATATGTCAAATGTTTATGAAGTGTAAACAGAGCTATTCTGTGGAAATAACACAAATCAAATGTGAGTCCTGTATAAAAGTAATGTCTTTCAGGTTATCTATGACTGTTGGGCATAATCCCTGGTTTTTTGTTTTTTTTAAAAAAAGCAATTTATGGGAAATTTATTGCATCTGAAAGGGAAATAGAAGTGATTTATAACAGCAATTCAATACCATTTTAATCCTGTGTTTTTTATTCAACAACCATTGATCTTAAAGTTATTTTCCAGGATAGGGGGACGAGCATTTATTTGCACAATGAAGAGTTTACTCTGTTTTCTCTGTATTTTTTTTAAAATTTTCTTTAATTCCTTTGAGAAAAAATCTTTAATGAGAGAGATTACCCTTTAGATTGCAATATTCTAAAGTTGTTTTTTGTGTGAATTAGCTGCCAGATTTAAAATTCTATTTTGGCAAATGATAGCTTGATAGTGAGTGCATTAATCCAGTACCTCCATTAATATCTAACTTAGATGAAATGTTAGATAAGAAGCAGCTTTCAAAAATATGCTCCCCTGGACTCAAACTATTGGGTATTATTTGTTAGCTTTAATGGGAAAGAATTAAAATGAATGCATCTTTCTGAAAGATGCTTAATTTGGGCAATCAGGGAGGTCTCCTCTATAGGATAGTTTTGAAGTCAGTAATACAATATTCATGACAATATTGTATGTCAACAAAAGAAAAGATTTTGAACCCCATTATTGATTCTTCTGCTTTTTGGTACGATGCTACTTCATCTCCCCCTTCAATCCCTCCAAAATAGCTGAAATCTATCAGAGTTTCATTGGGATGGTTGAAAATGGAAATAGCTGATGCAGAGGGTGTGGTTTGATGATCTAAAAATTACTGGGGTTGCAGCAGCCATGGGAGAGGGAGTTTCCATCAGTGATGTTTATCTGGTAATATACTGATAGAAATGTTTAGAGATTAAACATTTGGAATAAATTCATCATTGGTGTCAGTGAATGCTATTTGCACTCAAAATAGAAACAACAACAATAACACCCACTGTGCCTGTTGCAAAGATGCTTTTAATGCCATGTCTGGTTTGTCCCTTTTATTAGGCAATCAACCAGACTGGAATTTCAACAAGATAGAATTTTCCAGGCTAGGGGATGCTCACAGAATATCCTCTTCTATTGTCACGCACAAATGTGCATGTAGATACAAAGGAAATAGAAACAATTTGGTTAACAATATGCATTTGGCAACATGCATACCAAATGTTCAAAATGTTCTCACGAAGCTGGTGGAAACCAAACATTTACTTGGCATGGCGCACTACGTTTATAGTATTTTTCCGTGGAATTTTCAAATGTAAAAAGAGTAAGCTGAAAAACTTTGCAGAGTCCCCAGTTTTCTGAATTCCAACTTTTGGGTCACAGCTGGCATGTCATTTAAAGACCGTAGGAATTGTGGTCCAACACATCCAAGCAGGAACAGATTGGGAATGGCAAATTAGAGTTAACCCTTCTTATTTTTAAACTTGTGGTGACATTTGTGTTCACCTAGTTTTGACATTGTATAAGTATCATTTTAATGTATGTGATTTAGCTGTATGTAGAGGATATAAGAAATACTGGTACCTTGAGGGCTTCAGAATGCTTGTTGGCCATTTGTGACCTGCACTCCTGATTTTAATCACTACAACTCTATTTGTCCTAGGTTTATTATTTATCTTGTTGCTTCTTTGCTATAGTTTATATTATAAGAGACTTTTGATTCAAGGACTTGTACACCTTTGATCTGCTCTGTCTGAATAATACTTCAAAAAAGGTTTTCGTAACAAAAATAATGAGATCATTTTGATCTTTTTCAGATTTTTAAAAATTCCGTCTGATTAAAAGGTAATCTTTATTTTCTTTGCTTTTTTGAGATGCCATCAAAGGCATCTTTGTAACTTTCAGATAGTTACAATTGATTGAATAGAAATGTCAGATTCCAAGAATCAAGAAAGACATGTAGATTTATGGATGGATGAATGGATGGATGGATGGATGGATGGATGGATGAATGGATGGATGATGTCCATTCAATTGTGTCTGACTACAATCTTGTCTCTCCACATCTGATCTTGAACTACTTCTTTGAGTTATTCTATGCTCTGTCTGATGTCAGCTTTGATGTTATCCAGCCACTGCTTTCTTTGATGGACTGATTGCTTTTTACCACTAACTCTTCTCAACATAATTGCTTTTTCCCATAAATTTCTCTGCATGAGATGGCCAAAATAAGTGAGACACAGTTTTGTGATTTTGTCTTCCAGTGACATGTCTGGTGTTACACACTCCGGTACCTGCTTGTTATATTTCTGAGTAGTTTCTGTTATCGCTCCTCACCTATCCACAGAAATCTCGCCAAACTGAAGCCACTATTTGCATCATTAAATATATACTCTGAGAATTGCTAGGGAGGAGCTTTCTTAACTCTCTCCTGATCAAACTATCTAAGTTTCACTGTTTCTTTGCCCTCTTGAATGCAGCCCCTCCCTCTGGGGAATCTAGGCTACATTCCACCCCAAGGAGATGCATTATTTTTAAAAAATTATATAAGCTCAATATTGCAAAGAGATAAAATATTCTCATCCAGTCTTCCCGTTAGACATTGATTAAAATAAGGGGTATTAGGTCCAACAAAAGAACATCTTAAATCAATACTAAGAAGTTCGATTAAGAATGTGTAAGGTGACTGAACATCAATAAGGATTACTAAGGAAACTGCTCTAAAGCTATAATATATCTGCAGTAATGCTGCTAAAATAATACTCTCTTTTTAAAGAAAGAAATGCTCTTCTCATACGAGAGATGGACAGACAGTAGGCTTGCAAGACCTAATTTTTACTTGAAAGATTGAGATTTACCAGGTGCAAATTGGTCTCTCAAGTGAGACAGTAAAAGAACAAGGTGTTTCTGAACATACGTTTATCCCAGAATTTATCATCAGAACCAGAATCAATTTCACAGTTCTTTCACAGAAAAAGTCCACTCCAAGTTTTCCTCCTAAGCATCATTTTGAGCAGTATAATTGGGTCTGTGGGGATACAGGAGATGATAAAAAGTTTGCTGTTTTTTTCTCTTGTTATAAAATTGAAAGTCTATTTTTTGCAAAGCACCCCGAGATTTAACAAAAGTTCTTACATATTTTCCTCATCCCTTTCCTGTGCTTTGTACTGTTCATCCTCTCATTATGTTGGCTAACGCTTACCTAGTGAGATCTAATTCCTTCCCTCCCTGTTTAAGCATTTAGGGCAGTTTTCAAAGTTCAAAGCAAGGCAAGAATTTGTGCAAAGAGGCTTTCCTTCAATTCCCCATGTAGCAATAAAAGTTGTTGAGTGATCTTGGCAAACGAAACACTAAATTTTAACCTAATTTACCCAGGAGTCTTGTATAAGAATAATATAAGTGAAAGTATTACCTCTTATACTAGACTTGTATTTGCCACCTTTTTGAGAAAGGTAAAAATTAAAATAAAAAAAAATAAAAGTAAAAATATAACAAGCAAGTAAGCCACATGAGTCAAAATCAAGGGAATACTTCCTTTCTGCCTCTCTTCCCTTCCACATTCTTATAATTCTAAGAAAGAACCTTATAAAATTCTTCCTTATCATTAAGTCAGTTCCTTACTATTCTATACTCTTATTCTGTTGCTGAAACATATTCCCAATTCATTGACGAAATTGTGGTGGCAATTTGTTTTAAATTTAGGGCAACTTTCTCCAAGGGGATTGGCCCTAATGGTTGGGAAGCAGGGGGAACAACTCATCTGCAGAGTATCAGTTTAGGAAATGGTAAACGAGATGCTAATACTCGAACTCTTAGTTGTAAAGAGCTTTAACTTTGTTTAATGAGTTCATCTTGTCACGTTGGTTTACTTTCTAGTCTTTGATGAGGATTGTGATCTTTCTCCGGCAAGAAGGAGAAGGGGAAGGAAGGAAAGGAAAGAATAGAGAAATCTTCATGGAGGTATTACTGAGAAATAAGGCAGCCAACTATGTGGGGGGGAGGGGACTTAATAAATGGAAAGACACCTTATTCGATTTTTTCAAATAAGGTATCTTTCCNTAATTTTATTTTTATTTTATAGTAATTTTATTTTTATTTTTATTTTTAAAAAGGCTGCCCAGGATGAGATGGATCTTTAAGGATGTTTTGAACTTTCTTAAGGCAGGGGGAGCTATAAAGCTCTTCCAAAGAGGGGAGAGGGCAACCAATGATCCCCTGGGCAACGATGTTAACCCTCTGGAGGGCTGTCCTATCTGCCACTGTGCAATTGGCAAACCGTACACATGGGCAGTAAGTTAAAATACTCTCTATGGTGCAGTGGTAGAAGGTCACCAGCAGTTTTCCCATTCAGGTATTGTTTTCTGAGAAGCCTCAGGTAGCATCATCTCTGCTGGGCCCTTTTGACCAGGGCTGCAATGTGAGCGCCCCAGGTCAGGTCCTTTTTTATAATGACACCCAGAAACCTAAAACTGGTCACTTGCTCCACTCGGTCTCCACTGGTAAGCAAGGGCTGGATGTCTGATCTATTCTTTCTATAGTCCACTATAAGCTCCTTGGTCTTATTGGTATTAAGGACCAAGTTACTTAAGTTTTATTTGAAAGTTTAATATGGCTCTTCATCTCACCTTATCATTCTGGGTGATTAACAGCAATTTAAGACAACCGTAACCCAAATAAATGAAGCAAGAGGAAAAGAGAAATAAAATGGGAAGCAGGAAAAGGCTGAAGCTCGTAAGGACTGACCTAAACATTGGAGAAGACAGGATGAAGTATGAGAGAATGCTTCATCTTTTCCCAAGGTTCTGTTCATGTCAATGATAACATGTGTGTTTTCCAGCGCCGAGAAGTGGCCAAGACAGTGTTCTGTCTAGTGGTTATCTTTGCCCTCTGCTGGCTTCCTCTTCATCTCAGTAGGATCCTCAAGAAAACCATCTATGACCCACAAGATGTGGATAGATGTGAGCTGCTTAGGTGAGATCAATACACAGAAATGCCATGCGGTGATGGTTGAGACTTTTTTTAAAAAATCTAAATGGTTTGGACAATTACTTGCTTTACTTATAGATTCTTAAGTGTATTGATTCAATTATGGCTATGCCACCTTTCCACCCAGCTGGGACCTTCATGATAACATCCATTAGGAAGCTCCATAAAATTGTAAACAAGACAGCTATGAACAGCACACATCTTTGACAAAAGCAATGTAAAGTCTTGAGGTAGGGCTGTGAAGGTGTGATGAACATCTAAAGAAGCTTGGTACTAACCAATGTCAAGATTTTAATGGCCTTTTCCCCAAAATGCAAGGTCTTCAGGCTGATCTAACTATTGCTTTGATCATGGAAGTGAATCTGGCATCATCAGGACAGAAGATTTAGTACTCATCACCATGTAGATCCTTTGTCAAGATCCTTTCACAAGGATCTTCCTATGTTTCAGGAAGCTTCTTCTGCAAGATAAGGGTTGATTTAATCCAGGGTCTCCAAACAACTTTAAGACTTGTGGACTTCAGCTCCCAGAATACCTCAACCACTCAGGGGAATTCTGGGAGCTGAAGTCCACAAGTCTTAAAACTGCCACTTCTGGGGACTCCTTGTTTAATTGAAGAGTCCCAGAGTGCCTCAACCCTACAAGATCAAATTAGCTGGGCAGATACTTTGGACGACAGGTGGTCCCTCAAGTAATCAAGCCCTATGCCATGTATATCTTTATAGGTAACAACCAGCACTTCGAATTGCAAGTGGAAGCAACCTGGCAACCAGTGAAGATAAATGTTACATGGCTATGCCAAGGCATACCCACAACTGGTCACGCTAATGTATCCTGAACCAGTTGGGGCTTCCAGGTGGTCTTCAAGGGAAGCTCCATGGAGAGTGCTTTGCAACAGTCAAGCCATAAACTAACCAGGGCATAAGCAGTCCTTTGGAAGATCTGGATAATTTGGCTTGAACTGAAAGAATTGTCAAAGAAAACAAATAGCTTGACCTCAGCTCTGCTAATAGAGAAAGCTAAGCGGGTTAAATCCTAGTTAATAATTGAATAAGATAAAGTAGGGAAGGCTACAAACTAGGTTGGGAAGTTGAAAAAAACATTCCAGAAACTGGGAAGGCAATGAGAACCTCTTCCGTAGCCAAGAAAAATATATTATTGGAGTCATCAAGAGTTAACTTTGTCCTTGAAGATGTTCTCTTACTTCTCCTTGATGGCTCTTTCTTGTCTCCTTCCATCCAGTTTCCTTCTGGTTATGGATTACTTCGGCATCAACATGGCCTCTCTCAATTCCTGCATCAACCCTGTGGCTCTCTATTTTGTTAGCCGGAAATTTAAGAATTGCTTTCAGGTAAGAGAGCTGATGAAAAGATGGCATGTGATGGGAGGGAGGGAGGGAGAGGACGACATGTTGAACAGAGGCATCAGATCTGTATCATCAAAAATAGAAAGGAACTTTTTGTTATTATTGCTTCTTCTGAAAGAAGGCAAATGTGGGTGTCCCAGGATAATGTTGCAGGGTCCAACCTGGGTTGGTCATCGGGACCAGAGGTTTTATCTTCTGAGCTTTTGGACTCGTGCTGGAGCCCATCTTCAGGGAACTAGAGGGGTTCCAGCATGAATCCAGAAGCTCGGAAGATGAAACTTCTGGTCCCGATTCAAGATTGAAATCCCTATTCTTTGAGAACACACAGTTTGTTCCTTATTTCTATGTCTTGCAATCTTCTTCGGCTCCAACTCCACTCAGATGAAAAGTAGATGGTTTACAAGCAGTATCAAACCATCTCTTGTGGGGTGGAGAGCACAATCCCTTCTCTTTAACCCTAGCAAGCAGAATTAGGCTAGCTGTGGTTACCGCCATCTTAACTGGAGACCTGGTGTTGGCTGGTGGCGCAATGGTTAAGTGCGCTATTGCAGGCTAATTCTGCCCACAGCCTGGAGTTCAATCCTGACGGGGCTCAAGGTTGACTCAGCCTTCCATCCTTCTGAAGTCAGTGAGGTCCCAGATTGTTGGGGGAAAGATGCAAGTAATATGGACACTGTAAAATACATTCTCACCCAGAGCATGCTGTAAAATATATAAGTATATTGTATATACAGTATATGTCTAGAATGATATTGCTGTGACCTAATTCTGAAGGACAGAGGGTGTGAAGACACAGCTACAATTAGTGACTTCTTGGGCCTATCCTGAGTCAGGAAAAAAATGAGACAAACTTCACTGGTGATTGATGAACCTGTTTGTGGTCTGTTCAATCTCAACTTATTCTCTTCCAATACTGGGTAAGGACAGAGGAACCAACACCAGAAGCTTGCAGCCTCTCCATTCTTGCCTTAAATGACCTCTGTTTTGTTTCTCCTAGTCCTGCCTTTGTTGTTGGTGCCAACGGCCAACGCTGGGCATCCTCCCAACAGATGACAAGGGATCGGTGGGAAAATGGAAAGCCAACGGGCAGGAACTCGACCGGAGCAGTTCTCACTTGAGTAACAAGTGCAGTTCAGCTTAGACCCAGGAAGAAACAAAAACGAGGAAATTTGATTGGGATTCTGAGATGGACATCTTGGATAGGGGACTTTGGTTTGGGGTATTCCTCTTGAATTCATTTTTCTTCCCCAGGGATGAGCCTTGATCTCAATCATCTAACTTCAATCACAGCCCTTTGCAAAATCCCTGCTAAATTTTTTTGCTTTGCTCTTCTCTTCCTTTTTTTTTGATCTTTTAATAATTATCACCTTCTTATATTTACTCATTCTTCCTTACAGAATAAAATATTGTTTAGGGGCATAAGAAGTCCCCCCCTCTATATAAGGGGGACTACACCAAGCAGAAGACAGGGGGTTATACTGGGCCAGGAGAAAATGGAAAAGGGCTAAGGGTTGACACAGACTTGGGAAATTGAGCTATTTCTCAGTGGACAAACATCGCTTGTCACTGCCTCCTCATCCAAGCTCCAGGATCATGGCATTCTGTTTCTTTTTCAGCTAAGTAGGTAGGAAGGAAGGGGGTGGCCCACATGGTTGGGATGCTGGGTTGGCGGTTAACAAGCCCGCGTTCGAGCCCCGGGTGTAATGTGGCAGGGTAAGCTCTCATCATTCGCTCCAGCTCAACAGGGGCGTCCCCTAGCAAAGGTGATATCACTGGCTAATCCTTTCAACCCGGAAGCACCTTAAATGGTGCCTCTGACATGAACAGGACAGGATAGGAAGATGGAAACTCTTGCATTACCCATGTTCCTTTCCAAGAAAACGCAGTGGGATTTGTAGTTCAACTGCAACTGAGGTTACATCAAAATGGTGGCATGCAGAGTGACATCATAATACAAGCTTGCGCCCCAGACATAAATATGTAAATGACCCTTTTTTAATTCTATGCTGCAACATTTAATCATATCATCTGTTCCTTTTCCCACCAAGGAAGGTCCACGATTAGTGGACAATGTCACTACTTCTCCTTGTGGTGAAACTGTTGGTGTAAGACTAGTAAGACTCAGTTTGACTTTTCCAATCAATCCTGAAGCTAAGCAGGTGCTTTTAGGTCAAGGTATATATCTCTCAGCTTAATCTAAGGTGAGAGATTCTTTGTAGTTGGGACAAAGTGTGGGAAGATCCATATCACGTGCTTTTAAGAGACTAGAGGAAGAGTGGGTTATAAGTGTAACGTAACACCCATTAATTGCAGAGTAGAATGAGCATTAGGTACAGGGGTGTTGGGCAATAACCTTGGAGAAGGCTTGCAGCAACTGTTATGAAATCATCTTGACCCCGAGAACCAGGAGGGCGTGAGAATGAAACTCAAGATTGAGATACCTTGACTATCTATGTCAAAAGACACATCTCTCTCTAGCTTCCAAGATTGATAACAGCCTGTCCCGGTTTAAGTCATGTCAGGAAATAGACCCTACAAGAAATACCGGCATTGTATTTTATTGTTCTAGAGCAGTGATGGCAAACCTTTTCAGCACCAAGTGTGGAAAAAGGAGCACGTACGCACATATGGGCTATGCGTGCTCGTCTGGGCCACAACCTGGAAGAGAAGCTGCCCAGGGGGTATGCACGTGCGGTAAAATGAACTTCTGGTTTCAGCCAGCTAATCTTCCAAATACTGGTGCACATGTGCATGTGACAGTCAGGTGGCCAGCATGCATGCTCACACCGGAAAATGGAAGACCAGCTCTTCCAGTTTCTGGCACTGCTGTATGTACGAACACCAGCTGATCATTGCGCAAGCATGCATGCCAGAAACCCAAAAGAGG